AGTCAGTAAGCAATATGAGGCACAAGGAGGTATGTCCAACTTGTTAATGAATTTGTTGTTTCTTCTTGGCAACAAAATGAAAGCTTGGAGATATGTGCCATTGTCCAGTTAATCTTCTGTATTTCTTAATCATATAGACTGTGAAAGAGCTGATGGAGATGCAGATACTGCTGTTTATGAGCAACAGGGATGTGGTCATCAAGAGCATGAGGCAGCAGGAGCAAATTCAGAGGGCGAAAGGATGTCAGATAAGTCAACTAGTAATGATAGTACTAAATCGGATGTGACACTTGATGATGTAGCAGACTGTGAGATTCCGTGGGAGGATATTGCCTTGGGCGAGCGTATTGGACTTGGTATGAACTGCATTGTGTTTTACCAGACCTGAAGGTTCTTTAATGCAGGTGATTTAGACTCTGTAATCTGACACTTCTCATAATTTCTATGTTCTAGGATCTTATGGAGAGGTCTATCGTGGAGAGTGGCATGGAACTGTAAGTTCATTATCCTTGTGTCAGTTGGGTTTCTTCTTATTTATCTTGGGATTGGTCTAAAGAAGTTTTATGTGGTATCTTTTTCCTTCCTGCATAAAAAGGCCAACCTTTCTTTTTTATCTATCTATATAACTAGATCTCTTGGAACCTAAATCTAATTGATTTCAGTTGTAGATCTAATCTTCAAGAACATAATAATGAGAAGATTCCTTGTTCTTTTTGCAACTTACTAATGTCTGATTATTTTTTATAATTTGCTAAAATGAAAAAAAAGAATGAGTCTGTCTATTGCCATGGCTTTTTCACTCCCATTATTTTCTTTTTTCGAACTGCTTTTCCTTGAGCCGAGGGTTTATCGATAACAACGTCTCCACCTTCCAAGGTTCCATACCCCACTGTGGAATTACAGTGGGTTGTTATGTTATATATGGAAAAGAAGAATGAGTCTGTTGTAGGTTTACTTTGTTATCTTGGTTTAATCTTTATAATATATGTCAAAATCTGTTGTTTTCTCAAAAAATCTGTTGTAAACTTGTTATACTGAATATTCAATTTGTATCATCTGCTTGTTTTCCCTCTTATTTTTCATAAATTTCGGGGAGTCTCATGCCTCTTTTGGAAACTCCTTTGCTAACCACTTTTCCTTTACATTCTAGACTCTGTTTATACTTGAGGATTGCTTAAATTCTGTACTTCAAATCTGATGTGATGATATCTCTGCTAATTTAACCGCTGAGATATTTGCTGGACATGTCTGATTCTGTGTCAAAACATTTGTTGCATGCACATAATTTTTACCATAGTTTCTCATATTCATTCATTACTTATTGTCATCAACTATAAGTGGAAACAAATAAATTGCACTTAAGAATTCCTTATTTTCTTCAACCTGAATTAAGACAAAATAGATTAAGCCTACTTATTTTCAGGAAGTTGCTGTAAAAAAGTTCCTGGATCAAGATATAACTGGTGAATCCCTTGAGGAGTTCAGAAGTGAGGTATTACCCTTCTTGACTAACATAGGCCACTATCGGTGTTCTTTAATATCACAATCTCTGTAACTATTATCATGTCCTAAGAGATCTTACTCTTGAACAAATTTTAAAAGCTGATGGGAAAATCTTGAATGAAGCTAATGTTTTCATCAAATGCATAATTATCAAAATTTCAAGTTATCAGAAAAATAAACAGCTTGTCACTTTTTTCCTAACTCGTACATGATACATAGGTATTTAGTGAAATCAAGACATCATTACACCAGTTGGTTTGTAGTTCTTCTTTCTCTGATCATTATAATATCTCCTACAGGGTTTTCTTGCTGACACTAAATCAATCCAGTTTCCCCTAGCTGTGATGATAGCATCACAGTGCTTAATCTTCTGATATGTTGCTTAGCCTAACTTCTGGATTACAATTTGAATTGTATTCTCTATATTCATCTGGTTTGCAAGGTGCGGATCATGAAAAGGCTCAGACATCCAAATGTTGTTCTGTTCATGGGAGCTGTTACTCGTTCTCCACATCTTTCAATTGTTACTGAGTTTCTTCATAGGTATGTTAAAAGCTATGGGCAGAATTTTATGGATAATATAAAATACATTTCACTTTTATGGTCATCACATCAGTTAATTTGAAGTGGCTGTTGTTGGTTAACTTGGAAATCTGAACTAAAACTTGGTAACAATTTCTTGAATTCAAAATATATTTTGATTTGCAGAGGAAGTTTGTACAGATTAATCCATCGACCCAACAATCAGTTAGATGAGCGCAGAAGGTTGAGGATGGCTCTTGATGCTGTATGTTCGACTTTTTCATTTATAACTTCTCCATATGTTCAATCCTTTTGTATTAGTTTGTGACTTACTGGTGAATGTGCTTTACTAACTTAACAGGCTCGAGGAATGAACTATTTACACAACTGCACTCCAATGATAGTTCATCGAGATTTGAAGTCACCAAATCTCCTAGTAGATAAGAACTGGGTTGTGAAGGTGGACTTCCTTTTAACTGTTAAACCTTGGGAAATTTGTTGCTTGCTCTTCACTTAGAATCCACGTGATATCTTTTGATTTTTCTGACTCTAGGTATGTGATTTTGGACTGTCAAGAATGAAGCACAGCACATTTCTTTCTTCTAGGTCTACTGCTGGGACGGTAAGTTGAAGTCTAATGCTTTTTCTGTATGATCGTCAATAAACAGGCTCCGTAGTACATTCTTAGATCTGTTGGTCTTGCCAATATAGTTTGATATCTTTGATGGTTGATATATTTCTTTTTCTATAGTGTTTTTTGTTCCACATCTTGCCTGGGTATTTCATTGTGGATCCTTTGTCAATGAAACTTGTAATGCTTCCATCCTGCATTCTGGCTAATCAGCCATACATCATTTTATATCGGCCGTTGGAGAAGATAAGGTCAACGCTATCCTAATCCTCTCTGGCCTTTGAATATGTTGTGATTCCCATGTTTCTCCTTCAAAAATGTTGTTGCTATGATCCATGGTTCGAAAAATAACTTCATGATATGTTTACTTTTTCAGGAAGAGTATCTCGGCTTCCAATTCTGTATTGTAGTTTCCGTTTTATATATAAAACTTCGTTTCAGATTTGTCAAAAAAAAGAAGAAAAAGACCTTGTTTGTGCACTCGGTGCATTCTTGTAGAACAAGAGTAGTTTCTATTTTGATATTGTTTATGCTGTTTTATTGGTCATAGCAATAGAGTTGAAAGTATCTCATTCTTCAAGATATTTCAAGGGAATTAGCTGCTTTACTGATATATATTTGCTCATCTTAGTGATTGGTGAATGAACCAATTTTGATGAGAAGTAAAGCGATACTATTTGGTGTTAATGTGGAAGACCTGTCTAATTAAGCTTTGTGCACACAAAATGATTGCAATATTGTGGATAAAAAGTTAACAGTAGCAGTAGTAAACCATTTCCCATTAGATATATTAACTTTACACGCAAGGTATAAAAATTTTGATTATTTCGTGCAGATTGGGAACTTTTTTTTTTGTGCTTGCTATATTTAGTTGTTTTCCACATCCAATCTCATAATTCTTCGAGTCATTTTGTTTCTCAGGCAGAGTGGATGGCCCCAGAAGTGCTGAGAAATGAACCTTCAAATGAAAAGTATGTCCGATAAACCATATTACCCAACTGAAAAATGTTGAATAATGATGCAGTGAAGTGATTATAGAAAGCCAAAAGTTAAAATTTTCTGGTCCTTATAGGGTGACAGTTTCACAAATAGATTTATTCAGTGGCATTCGGTATATGATTGATGATGTTGGATTATCAATTGTCCCCTGCAGATGTGATGTATATAGCTTCGGTGTCATACTATGGGAGCTCTGTACTTTACAGCAACCATGGGGAGGAATGAATCCAATGCAAGTCGTTGGCGCTGTGGGGTTTCAGCACCGTCGTCTTGACATACCAGATGACACGGATCCAGCTATTGCAGACATTATCAGGAAATGCTGGCAAACGTGAGTTTCTGTGGTGTTTCAGTCACTTTACTTTCTATGTTTGCTCGTTGGATCCTCAAAAGTTATACATTTTTGGAGGGTCCAAGCAACATAGACGACTTGTAGATTCTTCATTATCTTTTGTCCTTCACTTCTAAATTTTGGTCAGGCCTCGTGCTGGTTACAATACAACAGAACAGTTCATATAGCCAACCTCAACTAATTCGTGATTGAAACACAGTTGGTTGAATGATCTGATTGTGTTTTTTTGTACATGCAGAGATCCAAAGTTACGGCCTTCATTTACTGAGATAATGGCTGCTCTGAAACCACTACAAAAGCCTATTACTAGTTCACATGCACCAAAACCACCAGTTGCCAGAGGCCAACCATCGTGAATCTTAGAAGATGCATCCGCGGAGCAGGGTTAATACTGAAGAACGTAAATAGACGTATTTTTCGTTGAATTTAAACAGGTCCGAATTTGAGCTCAAGAAGCTGAAAGAAGACATCAAAGAACCTGACAGTCAGATACTTCATTTTAAGCCAAATTGTGATTCTTTTGTTAGCAGTGTTTCCCTAGTCCTCAAAAATTGTGTATCTGCCTTCCCTTGTGTATTCATATTGATTCCCTCTTTTGTAATTAAAAAAAAAGAAGAAAGAATTGCTTTAAAGGAGCTCAAGCTCCTCTTTTATCTATGTTTTAGGTCAACATTTATATTTTGTACCTATTTTATTGAAACATGTGCAAATATAGCTCTTGAGACCAACCATACATTAGACTATATTTAAGATCTAAACTTTATGATTTTAATTTTAAATATTTTAGCGTTGAGCTCGTTTTATATTGAATTTAGTTGAACCCGTCATTTATACGCTCCGCGAGACAATTGTCAAAAAACCATTTACCCTTTTGACTAGTATTGTCATCATTTGAAAGAAGAATCAAAATTGATATACCTAGTTAGATTGATAAACAAGAAAGGAATCAAAATGTAAGTCAAAAGGTTGAAAAAAAATCCTACACCACACAAATATGAGAGGACAATACTAGTGGTGACGTAGTACATATGGTATAGTACTAAGCCCCTTTCATTTTATTAAAAAAAATTAACACAGAAGAAAGGAATTTTTTGTGAATGGGGACAGTTATCGACTCCCATTTCTTGGGCCTAACCGCCATTGTTACAGTAAGTAAAAATAGCTCTCTTTTTTTTTGTTATTATTTCTTTCTCATAATTCACAAACAAAAATAATTGTTGCAGGTGGTTTACCAATTAATCTTTTTTATAATCACAGCACTCCTCAAATTTGATAAAGTCACAGATTTCGCAGGTAAATTATTTGCCTTCACTTCTTGTCAAATTTGAATTCCCAAATAAGGTTTATTACATATTTAGTAAATTTCTGGGTTTTCACCTGTTAGTAATTGTGTATAAGTAAAAGAAATAATATATTTAATTTGAACAAAAAATGTCCAGTTGAAATACTTCATTGGGAGTTTAGTTGTTCGACTAAAATGTCTAGTTGAAATACTTCATTAGGAGTTGAGATGTTCGACTAAAACATGATCACTGGCGTATACAGACAAGTTTAAGTGGTTGATTATGTATGAAGCCTTTTTACATAGCCAGTTATATTATATTCGTGGTTCAAAAATGGTACTGCTAAAAAAGCAGCCAAATCACGAACCAATCTATTACTAATACTGCTGTGTGTCATTTTTTTTCATCTGCATACAGGAGGTACAAATTTCATTGTGCTTGCAGTATTAACTTTGATACTAAAAGGTTCATGGAATTTTCGACAGGTAAGTGAATTTTACCTTCAACTAGCACTTCCATGCTTCACTTTGAGAATTGCTTGTTCTAAATGAGTCAGTTTTTTTATAAGTTTTGATGCACATGTTGGTGGCATTTTGTGCATATTTGGATCAAGAATGAGCTTAATTACATAATAAAACGTGCCCATAAAGTTTATAGCTGAGTTAGAGAGGCGGCTCAAATAGTTTGAAGTCTCTTTCAGGTGGTTTTGTCTGTGTTTGTCGTGATATGGGGCCTTCGACTGGGGCTATTTCTATTAATGAGGTAAAAACACCAATCTATTATATGTCATATGTTTAGCTTGAGAAAGGGACTATTGCCCATTTCATATTAGAACCTTGTTATAGCCTCTTAAGATTATACTTTTTTGTTCTATTCAGGATATTACAATGGGGCGAGGATAGACGTTTTGATGATAAGCGTGATAATCTGGGGAAACTGGCAATATTTTGGCTATTTCAGGTTCATTTTCCTTTTCCAAACCATAAGATATACCACATTATCTTGCATCTGATCGCGGGCTAATGCTTACAGCAGGATGAGATTTTTATAGTTTAATTTATATTACAGGCAATCTGGGTGTGGACTGTGAGTTTACCAGTGACAGTTGTTAATGCAAGTGACCACCAACCATCTGTTCAGACGGTAGACATCATTGGTTGGATTATGTGGTCTATCGGAATATCAGTTGAGATCGCTTCTGACCAACAAAAGTTAACATTCAAAAACTCCCCAGAGAACAGAGGAAAGTGGTGCAATGTTGGACTTTGGAAGTATTCACGGCATCCAAACTATTTTGGCGAGGTTATACTTTCAATTCGTGTTTCTGAATTTGACATCCTCTGGACTAAATATGTTGGATTCGGTGCATACACAAGCACTACATTAGCACATTGAAGGTTTTGATCCGTATAATATCTTCAGATCTTTCTATGGTGGGGAATATTTGTGGCATCAACGCCTGTGCTGGAGGGTGCTGAATGGCTTGTTGTGCTTGGACCAGTGTTCTTAACGTTGCTGCTGCTTTTCGTTAGTGGCATTCCCTTGCTTGAGGTGATATCATTGACTTGTTGGTTCTATCTCTTAACATCCCCATCTGAGTATGTCTGTTATACAATTTAACTGCTACTTATAACAGGAATCAGCAGACAAGAAATACGGAAATGTAGCTGAATATATAATCTATAAGGATACGACAAGGTCAGTTCATAATCGCTCACTGGATCGTTTCACTGATTGTAAGATTAAATTAAAGGTAACAATGAATTTTAAACTGAATTGTTTCAGCCCTCTCATTTTGCTGCCCCCTGGATTATATGGAAAGCTTCCTTCATGGTTCAAAACTATATTCCTTTTAGAGTTTCCGCTGTACAGTCGCAATCTTTCCCAATAAGAGCTAAGCTGGTAAAACTTCAATCTTCTACTAAGAATTTTTCTGCAACTTTATTTGTTATATGATTCATAGGTTGCAACAATCTTTATAAAATTCATGAATATTCTGCTTGTTCAATTTTTACTTGTTCTGCTCTACTATTAGTGCACAAACTAGTCTTGTTGGTAGGGTTGATGTCCAAAAGTCAGTAACTATAGTGACATTAACATCTCCGAAATAGAGGTGGATCTGGTATTTGAACATTATGCTTGGAAGAGATCTAGAGAGCGGCTTGTCCAACATTTGACAGATTCATACCATCCATTTCAAACAGGATTTGTCCCGGATATACGAGCAATCCAACTCATAGGATTCCCTTTTCCTTATTAAAGGAGTTTTCTCTCCGATTATGGCACAATGAGACAACTCGATATAAAAGACGACCAACTCTACAACTTTTTTAGTGACATATATTCCAAAACCAAGTATTGAATCGAGTACACACCTGAACTGAACCGGTATGTAAATTTGTATTTTATATATTATGAATACGTTATATTAAAATATAATTTTTTCAACAATATTTGTTCAAATATAAATATAAACTAGGTTCCAAAAGCCGCTCTTACGTCCCACACACCTTGCGATGGCATGGCCCGCGAGCAGCGGCTCAAATTCTCGGATTCGGTAGACCTAAATGTAGGATGACTTTGGGTCTTCACTCTTTAATTAGAGTTTAATTAATTAGTTTTGAAATTGAAAGACACTATAATTGATATTCCGTCATACAATATGACAAAATCTATACAAGCACTCTAAGATCAAACACGACAACAAAGTTTTACATTCTTGGCTTGTTGATGAAGAACTAAAGTGTTTCCGTAAGAGCATACTTCCGATATATATATATATATATATATATATATATATATATATATATATATATATATATATATATATATATATATATATATATATATATATATATATATATATATATATATATATATATATATATATATATATATCTTGAGGAGGTGACATTTGTGCCATATTATTTAGTTATACATTTAAGGAGGTGTATTGATGTAGTCAAGAGAACTTCAAATATTCAACTTGCAAGAAAAAGAAACTAATGGTAATTCCCACATAACAAAAATAAACTACTGCATGAAAATCAAATTAAACCAACCTAGAAAAATCATAACCAAAAAAAAAATGAAGTAACATGTCTATATATTGTTCATACTTGAAGCTTGCAAATACATATATTTAGTTTCTCAATCGATAGCATTCCCAAATACAAACGATGCTAAATCTTACAAGAAGTGAGATTGCACAAAATTTGATGAATACTTGAATCTCGTCTGGCAAACATGTTGGCGGTTTGAATGCAACGTAACACATGAAACTGATTACAAATATTTCAACCAACAAATAAAATGCGATCATCAAAAGTTTAACACAACCTTGTATAATTAGACAACAACGTCCAGCCATATCTAATTATAAATTATTCTTGAATGATTTTGTTTGTAAGAGAATCCTGAAAAATTTTAAGACTCAAGGGGACATATTTTATAGTTGAAGAAATAATGGATTCCTATAATAATAATAATAATAATTGAAGAGTTTTGAAATATATGATACTCCTAAGAGGTATTAAAGTTTAAGGAGAGCTAATATACTATAGTTGTGGAGTACTAAAATATATGATAACATGAATTTTAAATATTAAAGGAGTCTTAATCTTTAAGCTTGCAAATTATCAAAATAGCAACGAACAATCAATATTTCCAAATGCATCAATACTAACTGTCATACCTAAGTATTAAAATAATTGATACAGTATAAAATCGTTTTTGTTAGAAAGCACTTAATACTCAAAGGCCAGACATTGCTGTAGCAATAATGGATTCCTATACAAATTCGGGTTCAATTGATATTGATGTTAACAAACACGAATCCTTATTATATGAGGTATGTAATTCATGTTATCATCATACGAAATTAAATATCGTAAACTCTTTATCTACTTAATATTTTTGTTAGTCTTTATTAAGCCTTATTTCTTAGGTTCATGGATTAATTACATAAATCCACCTTTTAGTTTACTTATTATCATTGTTCCCTATAAGTTTTACAAATTTCTAAAATTCCTTATTTTCGCACATCAGATTAGTGTATCTCGCGCATCAAATTAGTGTCTCATGTATAAAATGGGCATCGCGCATCGGATTAGTGTATCATGTATAAAATATTTATCAGATTAGCGTATCATGTATAAAATGTAGTGTATATTACTTAACGATTGATGTATCTCGCGCATCAGATTAATGTATCAGCGCTTATATTATTGTATCGATTTTGAGTGATTTCTGTAATTAAAACTTTTAAGAGATAGATTGTAATTTTGTTATAAAAGTATGTGATTTTTATAATTTGCCTTAAATTTATTGCTATCTCGAATTTTACTTATTGTATATGCTATTTAGTATAAATTATATTAAATAGTAACTGAAATTTTTTTTGACTAAGGCAACTTTAGATGGAATTTGGGCTAGGTTAGGTCTTGGGCAAGAGTGGCAGTGGCGTAACCATTGGACAAACTCTTCATCGGAAAAAAATTAGTATATATATAAATAAAATGATATATGAAATAATTAAATAATCTATTTTAGACACTTTTAACATAACAAGTTGCTATTTTTAGATACCTTTTAATAAATTTCTGACTCCGCCACTGATTAGAGTGGGGTCTTGTTTTGTGATTGGACTTATGTATATATACTTGTAGCAAAGACACTAAGCAAGACATTAGGAACATGCAAACATAAACTTTGCAAAGACAAAAATAAAAATGTATTAAATTTTAACTATTCCATAATTTGAACGCTGAAATATAATGAGTGATAAACTATTATATAAAAATCAAGTAAACCAACAAAAAAATTAAAAACTAAATTAATTAATTTTTTAAAAATTAGTTAAAAAGTAACATCACTAATCTTCTCTATGGATCTACAATTCTTGATTTTTAAAAAGCTATGCAAATATGAGATTAAGGCAAGGACACACTCAGTGTAACTATAATAATTTTGAAGAGTAAACGAGTTGAATGAACGGTATAAAATAAAATTTTCATATCACATGTTCAAACAAAACTTTAATTTCATTTTATGATTCTACATTATGATTTCATATCATGATATCAGATCGCATGACCAAATAGTCCCTTGGTACGTGTTACTCCTACCGTTTTTAAGTTGCTTAAAAAAGGTAAATACTTTTGTAATTTTATGATTATAATTAAAAGCAATTGTTAATTTTTATTGCTTAAGTGATGATTTTTTTGGTACAACTTTTTGGAGCTAAAACGATTGTTAATTGGAGACGGAGAAAATAATAAATTATTTCCCTTTTTTTGGCTTCGTGAGTTGGTTAATTTAAACCTTTTTTTGCATAATTTAACAAATTATTAGCAAATAAGAATTTCTGGAGTAAGTTCTTGGATTTTTATTTTATTGCACTAATTAAATTTACTAAATTATTTTTATAGTGAAAAAAAAGATCAATTAATGTTATATTAAATTATAACAAAAATTCACTTAAAAGAGATTTGTAATCAAAAGGTCCCTCATTTTTGCCTCCTATTACAGAACTTATTAGAAAAGAAAAAGGGTAAATAACAGAAATCATACAATTTTAAGGTAAAATTATCATTTGTCCTCTATGAGTATATAATTATAAAAAAATTTCAAATTGATACAACAATATAAGTGTTGATATATTAATCTGTTGCGCGAGATACATTAATCGTTAAGTAAGATATATATTACATTTTATACATGATATACTAATTTGATATACATTTCATACATGATACGCTAATCTGATGCGCGAGATATATATACATTAATTTGATGCACTGATACATTAATTTGATACGTGAAAATGATGAATTTTGAAAATTTATAAAACTAATAGGGAATAATGGTAATAAGAGAACTTAAAGGTGAGATTTTTGTTATTTATCCTATAAAATAATAGAGATATTTACCCTTCGGGATGGCCCAATAATTTGAGCTGGAGACTTCCATGTTATATGATACTTAGATCGATGTCTAATAACTTTTTATTGTAAAAGAATTGTTCAATATCTTTATGTAAAACTTCAATAAAATGGAACCATTCTTCCATTGAAATTTTTTTGGTGACTTTTAGTGGTGTTGAAGGTAAGTGAGCTTTCAAAGAGTCAAATAAAGTGGCAGACATACTTGTGAAAATGGTCTTTACATCAAATTTTTTGAACACAAAATTTTGTTTTGTGGGAACCAATCACTTTTTATGACAGCTACTCTTTAAGCTAATCGATCAACGACGGAGTGAATAAAATTGTTTCTTTTTAATTAAAAATTTTAAATTCAAGTTTAAATTTAGAATTTGACGTTTCATAGCAAAAATTTCTTGTTATGATTCTGATAGTAAAGATCAAAAGCCTCCTTCAATTCCTTAGCGCTACTGTTGATAGAGTTGTTATTTTTGTAAAAGCTGAAAGAACATATGGAAGGTAATTTCGAATCATTCTGAAAATTGAACTATTAAGTTAATTTGAAAAATAAAAAATATTTATATTAATGGAGCGTGAGAAGCTTGAGACATTATTTATATAGTTTTTTCCTCTCTTCTTTTCTTTTTTTAACCATTATTTTATTCGAAGCTTAAACTCATTTCAAGAAAACAAGCTCATCCACCTTATATCATTTTTTCATATAATTTTAAATGATAAACTAATTTACCTTCAAAACTTCTTCATTAATTAACACAAATAAAAATTATCACATAAATTAAAATGAACGAGATCTACGTACAAAATAAAAGGCGATGGAAAGCTAAGGTCTTGCTATTTATTAGACCACAAAGTTATACACTACAGGAGGACGCACAAATATCCGGTGTACCCCACCGTTATCAGCCACTCAAATAACTGTAAAACTTACGATAAAATGATTTATTTATTACCCATCATCTTCTTAAACTCTTCAAAGCAAACGTAACCGTCACCGTTTGCATCAACGGACGTGATCATTCTGGTACAATCCTGAAGGGTACAATTCTGGCCCAAGCGGTTCAGGATCTGATGAAGTTCCGTAGCAGAAATCCTTCCGTTATGATCCTGATCGTAAAGATCAAACGCTTCCTTCAGTTCCTTAGCGCCGCCGTCGACGGATTCGTCGTTTTTGCAAAAATCTGCAAATTCATCTAGGTTAATGCAACCGTCCTTATCGGTATCAATTTCGGCCATCATACGTGCAACTTCTTCCGGCGAAGTGTCGGATCCTAGGGCTTTCAGTACGCCGGAAAGTTCGTCGCCGGAGATCATGCCGTCGCCATTCGCGTCGAAGCGTGCGAATACTTTTTTCACTTCTTCCATGTCTTGAAGGTAAACGCAGGGCTTGGGACCTTCGGTAGCCATTTTTTCCGATTGTGTGTGAGAAAAATGGAGAGAATAGAGAAAATGCGTTACAGAAATGGAGGGAGATTTATGTAGGGAAGTTATATAGAGAGAGAATGAGAGGTG